GCGACCAACAGGATTTGCAGTGACCACTTTGAAGAGAAAATGTATTCAAATCATTTGAAAAATCGTTTGCTTCCTTCAGCTCACCCAACTCTGAATCTCACTGAAAATCAAGAAAATGATCGGAATATTGACGTAAGTACTCGAGAGAGAGAATTCTTGTACTTTTGTAAAATATACAAATCCAACAAATCTAGGATAACGTCAAATGACTTATTAATAATATTTATTGATGTCTCTGACGTCAATAATACATCTTTTGATGTCATCATGCTTGCTGGGAATGTCCCAGACAACTAAATCTGCCAGAACAGTTTTCGTCAAATGCCCACTACAAATGTTGAATGCAAAAAGACTGCAGATTGCATACAGGAACTGATATAATCGACATGTTACCAGCATGTCTACACAAATACAACAAAATCTGCTCACTTATGTCATCTGTGATCTGAACCTGCTCGGTTTCTGCCGACAATCTGTTGAGAGCGTATGCTTTACAGACTCTGTTGCCAAAACAAAAGCCAAATGCAGACACAGATGGCTATAGTTTTGGTGTGAGTTTCTGGCGAATCTGATGCCAATCTGTTAACATTTTGCTGACTGGGATACCATATATTCTGAGAATATATATGTTTGTAATATTCTCAGAACATTCTCAGAACATATCATATTAGGATAATTAGGATAGTAAATCAAAGAATAAATTAACTCACATTGATATAAAATATAAACTACAAGTGAAATATCATTAAAGTTTATTTTATATTGCTTAGAATGTAGAGATCCTCCCGAATAATAATTCACTGGCAGAAACATCGGTACTACATGTTGAAATTGATCATACAGGGTGTTCCCGGGTTAACTGGCCAAACTTGAAAGATGTATTTAGGACCTCAAAGCAAGAAAAATTGTCCTCTGGAAATATGCTCGTAAACGTTCCGTTCAAGAGATATTGACGTCTGAAGCTATGAACTTTTAGGAATGAATAATTTCGAAATATGACTATTTCTTTGATTCAGAATTCCTTGTCTGGTAAATATGGCTTCATCTGTCCATAAAATGTTTTGCGAGAATTGTAAATCATAATTTGTTTGATTTAAAAACCAATCGCAAAACATACAGTACGACGGAACTTTGTTTACGAAATCGAAGGTCATTGATAGGCTTTTATGGTAAACAAAGCGTCGTATCATCGTACTTAGTTCGTTGAATGCTTTCGTCGAATAAACTGGTATGAAGTGCCTGTTAATGATCTTCAATCATTAAAACGGAGGATAGTGCAGGCGTATAACGAAATTACAGACGCACAATGTCAGTCAGCCACTCATTCTGTCATCGATAGGTGCAATGCATGTCTCCAAGCTGGAGGCCATCATTTTGACCAAAACGTTTAATAATTAAATTTTTATTATTAAAAAGCAATAAAGAGGATAAATCTAAATTATTTCGAAATTATTCATTCCTAACAGTTCATAACTTCAGAAGTCAATATCTCGTGAACGGAACGTTTACAAGCATATTTCCAGAGGAAAATTTGTCTTGCTTTGAGGTTCTAAATACATCTTTCAAGTTTGGCCATTTAATCCGAGAGCACCCTGTATATCTGAGATACTTATTACATACAAAAGCTGTAAAATTAATAAGTAATAGATTCAAAATAATCTAATTATTAATTTTACACAGATTGTTTTAGATTCTTCTCAAGAAGCAGTATTGGAATTGATGGAACCATATGTTTCGATAATCGAAGAATCCACTTTTCAAGTACAAATCTTCTGTCCTTTTTATGATTCAAAAAATAATGTAGTAAAAAATGAGTTATACCTATATTCTCAAATTTCATTATTTTTTTTCCAGAGCAAAACAAACTTTGATCACGATTACACAGGAACTGCAGTAGTATCCGAGTCTCTCCCACAAACTGATACTTCAGTATCATTGGTTAGCAAAATGGTGAGCTAATTGTATTTTAGTCATAGAAAAATTGTTGCTCTTATTTACTTTGTGCTTTTTGATTTATCAAATTTTATTGATTTTTGACGACCGAATTTATGTTCTATTTATACTTGAATTTGAAATTAAAAGTACCTTTAATTATTTTTATATTATCAATTTCACAATTATTTCAGAATTATACGAATGTACAAACAAACATTTCATCTACTGCTGAAAATGCTACCATCAGCTTACACGATTTTGGAATAAATCGTAATCAGATCGCGCCTAAAACTGTTATCTTGAAGCCAATTCATAGCGTCTATACTTCTCTTCAACCTGCAATCGTCGTTTCTTCATCGAAGTACGATATTGCAGCCAAACCTAAAATCACAGTTGCTGCGCCTTGCGATGTTGTCCGTCCACTTTCTCCAGAAAAAAATTTAAAGAATACACAACACAATGAAGTCCAACTATCTGCGAAACAAAATCTTGATAAAGAAACTCAAACAACACAAAATATATGGGATTGTAGTCCAAGAAAATTAAATTTACAGAAAGAAAAAAGATTTCTAAAAAACGAGAATTCTGCTCTGCGAGAAAAAATTGAAAAAATGGATATAAGCAAAGATCAATTCTTAAAATATTGCGATGAATATTTCTCCCCCCAAACGGCACTATTTGTTAAACAACAAGTATTAACTCAAAACAAAATGGTCAATAATCGGAAATATTCCTTAAAAATTAAAAGACTGTACTTGAATCTGTATTTCAAAGGACCAAAAACATACAGAACTTTGTCGTCGATATTTTCTTTTCCATCCAGAGCGACTCTTAACAGAATGATAAGCAATACTTCTTTTACGAGCGGTATAAATCAAAATGTATTCGATTTACTCAGCATTAAAATTTTAAATATGAAAGAATCTGAAAAATACTGCATGGTTTGCTTCGATGAAATGTCTCTAAAATGCCACTTGTTTTATGGCATAAAAGCCGACAAAATCATCGGCTTTTGTGACAATAGAAAAGAAAAACAATTCAAACCAGCACAATTTTCATGTGTTTTTATTGCAAGAGGTATTTTTAGCGATTGGAAACAACCGCTTGCGTACGAACTTTCAAGTACAGCTTGTTCAAGTACAGTTTTACAACAGTTACTTGAACAATGCATTTGTAAGTTGCAAAATATTGGTCTAAAAGTTGTAATTGTGGTGTGTGATATGGGTCGTAACAATAGACAGCTTTCAAACAATCTAGGAATTACGCGTCAAACCCCATATTTTACACTAAACAATCAAAAAATTTTTTTTATGTATGATGTCCCATATTTGTTGAAAGCAACCCGAAATAAGTTTTTAAACCATAATTTCATGTTTGGTCAATTTTTTGCTAAGATGGAATATGTAAGACAATTTTATAACATGAATCAAATGGTACAGTTCAAGTTAGTGCCGAAATTAACTAGCTCACATATTAATCCAAGTCCCTCTGAAAAAATGAAAACCGAACGAGCTACTCAGCTTTTCAGTCAATCCGTGGTAGCAGGTATAGATACATACATTCAGTTAGAAAAAATATCAGCTGAAGCAATTGGAACGGTAATGTTCATTGACAAGATGGATAAACTTTTCGATATGTTAAATTCTACCGCAAAATACAAGGGTGAAAAACTACACGCCCATGTTTTTGAAGGAAATGATTTTCAAGTAGCATTTTTACAAGAATGTCTAGATTTCTTCGATTCGTTCATAGTTGTCAATTACAATGGACACAATGTGACAAATCAGATGAAATTCATCGATGGTTGGAAAGTTACTATTTATGCCGTACTGCAATTATGGAAATATCTTAAAAAAAGAGGTTTCCTTTCTTTGCAAACTCGGAGATTAAATCAAGATGTTAAACACTTATTTGAGAAAATTCGTCTAGAAGGAGGAAGTTGTTTAAATCTTCCAGTCATAGCATTTGTTAGAACATTCAAAAAATTAGTGTTTCACAATTTTTTTAACACTGAGAACAAACATTATAAAGTCGATTTTGACAACATTTTGTTGAATCTAACCAGACTAGATCAATATGAACCCGAAGAAGTTAAGGAAATTTCTGAAAAAGGAATTTTCGATGACTTTACGTCAGATGACATAGAATATCAGAAGCTTGATTTGATAGAAAAAAATTCAATCCGTTACATATGCAGTTATTTGATTAAGAAATGTTTGAACAAACATTCATGCAAAGTTTGCGAAGAATATACTATTGATCACGTAGAATTTGAGGACTCAACAATTTATTGTTTTTTTAAAGCACACCAAAGTAAAAATTTTATTTGGAGCAAATTAAAAACGCCACATAACAATTTTGTTTTTTACGTTTGCTATTTAGAGATGATTTTTAATGATCATTTTGAATGCGTTAGTCTAGACAAAAATGTCATTAAAACATTGTTGACAAAGACTGAATTAATTACGTTTAAACATCCGTGTCAGAATTTTCCACATTTATATTTTAAAAAATTATTTTTTAGAATGCGTTTGTTTTACGTTTTAAAACTTATAAATCGTAATTTTAAGTCAAATAATCCTAATAAAGTGATTATTTGGAGAAATGAATAACGTTTCATGTAATTTATATTTAGGAAGAAAAATACATGATGCGAGACATTACCATGTCTCTAGACAGAACTTGTATATAAGTTTACATTGTAAATTTAAAATAAAATTTGTAGTTGCAACAATATGAAAAGTTTCTTCTGTACATTTGATTTGATAACACTGTTAGGATAGCTACATTTAAGTTAGTCAAAACGTACATGATTAATTATTAATAAAAAAAGAGCATCTTGTATCCAGTTTTATTATGTTTCCACTTTATTTACTTTTTGGTAAACAACCTTTTTTATTAAGGTTCAACTTACTGTAATAAACAACTTATATTTCTTTCAGTCTTCACATAATTGAAAAATGTTTCCGTTCAACCTGTATACGAGCACGCGGGTGGATAGCTTATCCGTAACACCATGTATACATAGGTATACCTGTATACCATATATTTCAATAATAGACAAGTTTAAACTTGGATCAATATTAAACATTTATTGCTTTACACAGTTATATACAAACATGGTTATAATAAATATAAACGTTTCTTTATTTACATATTGAGCACTTTTTGTAAATTATTTACAGTTGTTAAGAAAAACTGGCAATTCTTCAGATAATACTTCTTCATATCTATAACTTTGCACTGCCTGTCTATCAGCAGGTACAGCTGCCTGTACATCTTTTTCAGATGGGTATATTTCATTACTTTCTGAAATCTCTGATGTTGATCCCACATCAAAATTATTGTGTGGAAGCATTTGCTCATAAGGTAATTCGTTAATGATGACTGCACCGCTTATATCGATAGAAGCAGCTGGACCATAAACAGGTCTCTTTGGTATTTCCTCTGTATAATAAGTAAAAATAATTACTTTTTTAGTTAAACGTACTAAAAATGTTTTTTATATACAGGGCATTTCTTAAAGAGTGCTCACTAATTGTATAATGTTGATCATAAAAAATTGAATCAAAGTCTTAAATTATTGTTTTCTATAAATTTTAATAAAACAGTATACTTATGGAGTAAAGTTAATCCAATCGGTATTATTTTTTAGACAAATATACATCGGTGAACCACGCGCCTAATAATGTGAGTGCATGACAACCTATCCAGTGACAACAGCCTAATCAAATTGATATCAAAATGTCATCAAAATTGATGAGGGGTATGAGTAGTCAAAATAATGACAAAATGATGATAATTTGACTGCGAAACGTCCTATGCCTTGATGGTTATTTAGACTGTTATTTTGATGTTTGCTTGATGTTAAAGTAAACAATTACTTTCTACAAGAATAATTGCAAAACTAAAACAAAATTATATTAAATAAGAATACACATATATACTTATATACACTTATATACTTATATATTTTTTATACATACGTATATACAATATACATATATAGGGGAGAATGGGTATGAAAGAGCCATGTTTTGAAAGAGCCACCTCATATTTCAACTAACTGAATGTAACCAAAAATTTTTTAATTTTTGATTTGATAGCAACACTGAAACTGCGTCATCCATAAACATTTGACAGTCAACGTGAAAACGGCGTGTCCGTGATGAGAGGTTAAAGATTATTACGACAAAAAGTAAATTGTTTGAGTTAAATTTCCATGTCTTTTACATTTATTTGTGATTAGCTTTTAGGAAAAGTATTTTTTAATCAAATACAACTCTCTTGTTTATTTTGGTTTATCAGATATTTCATGGTTAGATTTTTGACACATGATGTTATGAAAGAGCCAATGTTGATTCGAGAGCTATGAAAAAGCCGGTTCTTTCATTGCCACTTTGCCTGGCTTCTTCATTATGCATACCTATTGTAAATAGATTTTCAAGTATTTCTGCATTATAAAACAGCATTCTTCACGGTTTATAGGTTATACTGGTGCTAGCATAGCTAATTAGAAATTTTATATTTTCTATCTTTCAGACATTTATTAGTTTTCGAAGAAGATCATTTTTGTTAAAGGATAACATATTTTCATTTTATTTGTGTTATTAGAATTTAGTATCCGGCTTCTTCAAAACCAGTGATGGCTCTTTCAAAGCCATGTTGTGATGAAAGAGCCGAAATCCCTATTTTTAAAAAAAGGTGAATAAAATATGTTATTCACTAAATAAAATTTTTTTGTTAAATTGATCTTATAGATAAATAAGTACACTATTGTTAAAAAGCGGTTTTATTTTACTAATAACAGATTAAATACTTTTTTCATACTTTGAAAAATACTGGCTCTTTCATGCCCACTCTCCCCTATGTATATGTATACAAGGTGTCGTCTAACATGACAATCTTAAATAAATCGTAAAATACTTGCTCTATGAAAGTATTGTTCAAACGCAAGATGAAAGATTGTTATATGCAACAAGTTAAAGAAATTGACAAGGATAGGAAAGTTACTTTTTAAAAATAACTAGTTACCGTTACTCGTTACCGAATAAAAAGGTAACTAGTTACCGTTACCATTATTTAAAAAGTAACGATTCGTTCCTTTTTTTCGTTACTTTTAATGGCAACGAGATAAGAGATAAGACTAAATAAAACATTAATTTATTGTTCTTAAAATGCAACTACAAGAATTATTATAGGATTTTGATTATAGAATTGTTTGGATAAGATTAATCTCTATCGTCGTTGTATCTTCCCATACAGCACGTGTGTCTAAAAGACATCTTTAAGTCGTTTTTTAGACATACATATCTAAAAGACGTCTTAAAAAGATGTCTTAGACATGCGTGCTGTATGGGCTGTATATATCGCATACTTGCGCACTAGCGCCTAAAGCTTTATAAGTTTTATAACTTATAAGTCTTATAACATATACAGTATCAAAATTCTTGAAGATCGAGTCATAAAGTACAATATATGTATAAAAGATTTATAAAGTATAAAATATGAAAAGTAACGATAAAAATAACTGTTATATTCGTAACCGTTAATAAAAAAAAGAAACGGTAACTACGTTATCGTTACAGTTACAGAAAAAAATATAACGCCGTTACCAATGTTTCAGACAAAAGTTATTCCAATTAATTAATAAGAAAAGATACTATAATAAAAATGCAGGTTTTCATTTTAAAAATTCAAGATTACCTTTATGTAACCTTCAAACGACTATCCAAGGTTAAATTAATAACACCATCTTATGTCCCCTTTAAAATCATATAACTTTCGTCTCAAACATTTGTTTCTAAAATGCAGTTTTTGAAAAATTTAGGGGTTTCCATACTTTTTCCTGGGTGACCTTCTATTGAACACGTAACGATTGGACACCGCTCGATTGGACACGCACTATTGGACACGCATTATTGGACACCGCATTATCGGACACAAGCATTATTGGACACCGCATTATTGGACACCGCATTTTTGTACACCGCATTATTGGACACAAGCATTGCAAGATTGGACACTACATTTTCGGACACCGCATTATTGGACACTGCATTATTGGACACCGCATTTTTGGACACTGCATTTTTGTACACCGCATTATTGAACACAAGCATTGCAAGATTGGACATTGCATTGGGATTGTCCCGATTGCGCACATAACCGATCGGACACGGCAACATTTCCCGATCGGACACAGGCTCGATCGGACACAGGCCCGATCGGACACGGACTCGACCGGACACAGGCCCAATCGGACACATTTTGTATCGGGTTTGCGTATTTCTGTAAAGCACAATATTCTTGTGGGCGTATGGACTTACAAATGATGGAAAATTATCTGCTTTACAGAACAGTTAACCCGGGTTAAAGATATATAAATATCCCGACCCATCTAGAGTCACAGTTTGCCTTAAATTTCATGTTATAAACACTTGAAAACCCATTAGAGTGTCCGATCGAGTCTGTGTCCGATCGGGCCTGTGTCCGATGGAGCCTGTGTCCGATCGGGAAATATTGCCGTGTGCGATCGGTTATGTGCGCAATCGAGACAACCCCAATGCAGTGTCCAATCTTGCAATGCTTGTGTTCAATAATGCGGTGTACAAAAATGCGGTGTCCAATAATGCGGTGTCCGAAAATGCAGTGTCCAAACTTGCAATGCTTGTGTCCAATAATGCGGTGTACAAAAATGCGGTGTCCAAAAATGCAGTATCCAATAATGCGGTGTCCAATAATGCTTGTGTCCAATAATACTTGTGTCCAATAATGCGGTGTCCAATGATTTCGGTGTCCAATAATGTGTGTCCAATAGTGCGTGTCCAATCGAGCGGTGTCCAATCGTTACGTGTCCAAACGGGACACGCCCCTTTTTCCTCACCCTCTATAACACTATAATTGTCATCCAGACATCTATTTGCACCTTTTTACATGATCTTTTATCGCATACAGCGTCAAAACAGATAGTGTCAATTTTTCATCATGTTCAAATATTTCCTTGATACAATGACGACAAATAACGATTTTCATGTCATATCGACATCATTTAAGCCCGCTGCAGACGATGCTATTTTTCCTGCTGGATTGCTTGCAATCTAATAAATTACTATCGTTGCACCATTCAGCACTCAGGATTCCTAGTAATTTAGTAAATCGCAAGCAATCCAGCAGGAAAAATAGCATCGTCTGCAGCGGGCTTTAGACTGCTGTTTTCACTGAGTAGCAGCGGAATACTCATGTACCAAGCGTAACCTACATCTGTTTAAAAGATCTAGCGCTGATTGGATTAATTTTATTCCAAATTGCTGCTTTATAAAATACTATAGAAAAAAGTAATTCAGGATTTTTTGCCTCAGTTTACAATAAGGAATAACGCTATACAATTATTGGGCATTCTTTATATAAAATTATAAAACTCACGTTTTAATATATCACATGCCACATAGTCAGCAGCCCGAAATAATTCTGCTTTTGTAAGAAGTTCCAGTAATAACTTCAATGTTGGTCTCTTTCTCCCCATGGTACCCCATTCATACAAAAATATTTCACCTGCATTGCGTTTATTGCTGCGTGCCGCTTGTTCAATAAGCCTAATCATGCAATGTCAATCAAAATATTAATTAATTTATTATTAATGACAAATGACACGAGGAAAATGTAATAAAATTTATTATTAGAAATCTTTTAATAATGCTAAATATGAAGATGATTTCTTTGACTTTATGTTTACTTTTTCCATTAACTTGTTTTAAGTAGAAGTAGCTGATTAATTATATAGATTCTACACAAATTCTGAATGTTTTACAATGTAAATAGCAGTTAATTAATTACTGAGCAATGATTTTTGTTCTTAGATATTTATTTTTACAGAAAAGGATATCGAATAAGTGTAATTTTATCGAAATATAAAGAGGACTCAAGCTTAATATTTATGTAAATGACATGATAATACACGTTGTAAATTACCTGATATCGTCACTACTAAATTTAGGAACGTTTCCTTCTTTAGTTACAATAGACATTAATTTTTTCCACGAGTCACCAATATTTAATATGGTTCCTAAAGTATATAACTCAGAAGGTCTCAATTTTCGTAGTTCCATATCTACAGATGTCTCGTAAGACATTTTTCTCCCAATTATTTTAATAAACAATTATAAAATATTTGCTGGCAAAGTGTCAGAAACGTCGAGGCGAAAGAGCTAGCAGAATCCCACAATATTCTGTAGGTAGTCTTCTTCTAATTATGGCGCCCGGCTCCCGACACGATCATGACGAACCAATAGACGTTGTAGAATTATAGACGTTATAGAATTATAGACGATTAATTGGTGATATTATACAAAGCAGAGGCTCGACTATCGGGCCCGCAGAATCAAAAATTTTTCTTTTAGGTTAGAAGACATATTGTACACTCCACGTCCCAAACGGAACTCTCTGTAGGTAGCAGTAAAGGTACATTTTCACGTGTCGCTCGAACCGGCCGTTTCAGCGACAAAAAGGGTCACGTGATTACTTTTGTCGCAGAATTGTTACAGCAGCAACTATGGCACATGAAAAATAGCAAGAAGCAGCAAATCTGTGTTTAAAAGACAGTTCTAACCTTCAAGCGACAGGACCTCAAACGTGCTTACCAATTAAGGTGCATAATATGAAACTGTTTGGAATGAATTTTCATCAGAATTATAATTCAATTATTTTCTATATTTCTATTGTGTTTTCTAGGAAAGACAGAATAATTCCAAGTTATGGCTTCAAAAAAATATTACAATTGGTTACTAAATTGTAACAAATTCATTTATGAACGTAAAGTCGAATTTGAAAATAATGCAGTTGTTGCAGAATGCTATTACTGTGAAACACAGGACGATGTTTGATTCGCTCATACTTGACGCCGACTGAATGTATTAATTTAAATAATTTCTATATGCAATCGTTTGTATTTCGTATGTAGACGTTTCTAGTGCAATTAGAAAGGTTTGTGAGTCATTCGTTTGTTTGTAATTAATTAATTATTTTTCCACCGTATACTTAGCGCAATAGATAAATTAGATAAAATTTTTATATGAAATCGTTGGTATTTCGTATGAAGACGTTTGTAGTGCAATTAAAAAGGTTTGTGAGTGATCCAGATAATTTTAATTAAATATTTATTAAATGGAAGTTAGCCGGATTCAAAATTTAATTGATTTCCTATCTATGATACTGAATGATTTAAGGGGATGCTGGAGTGATTCTGCACTTTCGCA